TAGATAGATAGATAGATAGATAGATAGATAGATAGATAGATAGATAGATAGACAGATAGATAGATTTACCTAACAGTCCCTGGCTCAGTAGTCCTATTAAAAGTACCTAAGATCATAATCTTTGATCTGAAATGAATTATTTAGTGGAGAATTTTGAATAGATTTCATGTCTATTCCTGGATTATTTTCTGAGCATATTAAGTATTAGTTTTATATAAATATGGGAAGCTATGAGTTCTGGGGTTTTGAAATTAAAATATGATTACATCATTTCCCTTCTTCCCTTTCCACCCTTCAATCTTTCCTATTTCCCCCATCATGCTCCTTCAAATTCATGGCCTTATTTCCTTTGTTACTTCATTCACGTACACACATATGGGGGGAAGGAGGAGAAATAGGGAGATGGGGGAGAGAGATATTTATAAATATGTAAATACAACCTGCTCATTCTGTATGTGTCACTTGTATATATAAGCTTTCAGGGCTAATGACTTTGTAATGGATAACCAATTCAGGGGTGTGGGCTCTTTACTGTACTTAGCATGCCTTAGTTGCCTGTAGTTCTTTGTCTATGGTTGAGGTTCTATGAGTTTCCATAACTTATACTGAGCCCATTTTCTCTATTTGTAAAAAAACATGGGTCACTTAGAGCATAATTTATGGTAAACACTTCTGACTTTTTAATATCATTGGATAATAGTATAATATATGACATCTTTATGGTTTACTTTACAGTCTTTAGGCTGCTGTCAATGTCAGTTCCCTGGGTTTAGAGAAACAGTGTTTAGACAAATAGAGAAGATGCACATAAAATGCTGAGCACTAGATGTTATAATGCTAATTTGCTTTTGCACGGTAAGTATGTCGTTAACACAACCAAGTTCATGTAAATATGAAAGCAAGATGTGCAGACTTGTGAATAAATAGGTTGGTTTTAATATTTCTAGGTACCACTTGGTTTGCATCTTAATTATTTACCCTGGGTGATTTAAAATTTTATTCCTTTTAATTGGACAGTTGACTCTAATTGTCAAGTCTTACAAAAAGCAATCATAAACCATCAGCTGAGAAGGCATGCGTCTATTGTTTGAGCTTTTCCTACCATGAAAGGAATTAAGAGAGAGCATTCTTGAACAGAATCTAAGTATTTGTGAAAATATATGCATAAAATTATAAAATATGGAGAAGAGTCTTCAAACACAATTTAGCATTATCAGAGTTTGGGGAAGGTTAAACTCTCTAAGATTCCTCATTACAAATAATGAACCACCATAGTGCAAAACCAAAGGGGTACCCCAACATCACTTCCTCCAGAAAAGAACTGGATTTGCCTTCACGAGGGCTATAGTTCTGTATTAATAAGCATTCACATGGCATCTTTCATATATTTTAAATAATGTTTGACTTTAAGAAACTGTAGAGACCTTTTTTGTTGTAAATATGTTTTCTTTCAGTGATGTTTGCTACAAATTCCACTGACAAAATTGTTACACTCTCCCCTACTGAATATCTTTCAGAAGTCTTTGATTTCCCTTGTCATACAATTTTATTATATATATATACATATATATTAGTATATATAGTATATAGTATATATACTATATATGAGAGAGAGAGAGAGAAGAAGGAAGGGAGGAGATGTTTATTTAATTTTTTTTCATTTTACATCCCAACCCCAGTTTTCCATTCCTTTGCTTCTTCTGCCCCTCACTTCCTCCCCATCCCACCCTATATTCACTCTTCAGAGGGGGTAAGGCTTCCCTTGGGGAGTCAACAAAGTCTGTCATACCAAGTTGGGGCAGACCCAAGTTCCTCCCTCATGCATCAAGGCTGAGCAAGGTATCTCACCATAGGGAATAGGCTCCAAAAAGGCAGTTCATGAACCTGGGTTAATTCCTGGTCGCACCATCAGGGACCACTCCCGGCCTGCTCTGCAACAAACCAAGCCATATTACTGTTGTCTATATTCATAGGGCCTAGTTTGGTCCCATGCAGCATTCCCAGCTGTCAGTCCAGGGTCCGCGAGCTTCTGCTAGCTTGGGTTAGCTGTCTCTGTTTCATTTTTATAGATCTTTCTGTGCTATGCCAGAATTCAGATGTATGTTTAAAATTATTATATATAGGTGTTCATTCCAACTGTAAAACACAACCTTGTGTAACATGTTGTGGCATCTACCTTGGGCTCATTAACTGTTGGGTGCAGTTTCTTTTAGATATATCTTTGGAATTCCTCCCCTGATCCTTGTTCTGTTGCCTGTCACATCATCTGACTGCCACATTCAAGATAAAGAAGGGAAAGCATATGAGAGTGTGCTGATGGTCAGCATCGATGAATTGGTACGTGCTTGTTCTGTTTCCTTACATTCTCACCTACAGGGAAATGTGAACATACTTTTGGTATTTAGTCCTATAATCAGAGATCCCCTGTGATTCTTGACCAGGAAGGAGGTAAGTAGCTGCAATCATGCCCATATTTCAGCCTTTCAAACTTGATTATTTCTCTTAGAAGTGTGAGTCAAATTCTTCCTTCTAATGTATAAGATGCCTACTGTCATCTACATGTTTTATTTGGTGAGGCCTATGAATTCCCACCTTTAAGACAGAATCTTTCATACATTAGCACAAGATGTCGCATCACCCGATTGTGTATTTCTTTGGTTTCTTCCATCAGAGTTTGTACTCTTCTCCACACAAATCACATCCATAATCAGTAGACTTATATGGAAATATTCCATACATTAGCAGGATTTTAAATAATGCTGGCTTTCATTTCAAATTGCATTTATTTATTGCTGGTATATATACAGACATTTGTTTTTTGTAAGTTAACCTTGTATCTTGTAATCTTTTAAAATCACTACTTTGCTGCAGGAGTTTGTTGCTGATGGCATTTCTTTGTGGTTTCCACATACACAATCAAGTAAAAGTTATCATGTAAGGTTGATTTAATCACTAGACTTACCTTTTTAGTCAGACTCAAGTCTTATGTGGCAAACAAAACCCTTCCCTAATGTTCATAAGACAGAAGACATTGTTGAAGGTTTTCTTTTCTTCCTCTTTAATATCCCTGCTACATACACTGAAGTGGACTCGTGCCTTGGAAAATTGTTTTGTCTCTGGAAGAGTTAGAGAAAATGCAAGGTGGTTAATGAAAAGTGGGACATAAAGTTCTATGTTGTTTGCCAACTGACAGGAAGCGAAGCATACCCACCACACAGTACTTTCTACATTTTCTATTTCGTGATATTGGGAAATTGAGTACTTTAAATGTTGCTTCTAAATTGATCTTTTTCACCAAGATGATATATGTCTGATTCCGTTGTATTACCTGTGCACAGAAATAAATAGTATTATTTCAATAGCAGTCAACAAGTAAAGGTGCATATGCAAAAAATGTAAAGAGAGGGGACTGAGAGAAGAGATTGTTGTAAATTTAACAGAGGAGGTTTATTTAACCAAGTCATGGCACATCTCTTCCTGAAAATAAAGAGTAGGTTATCTCAGCACATTTAGCCAGAAACCAGAGCAACAGCACTGATGTTACTCCTGGTGGCAAGGCATGGCTACTCTTGTGAAGATGGACTGAGAAGGCACGGGGCAAATCTCAGTAGGTCTAACTAAGTAATGGCATGGCAGTGTGATCCTAAAGATGTTTTTGTTAATCTGAGGGAAAGAGAAGAGAAAGTCACCACGAATTGCTACTACCAACAGACTGCAGAGCAGATTTAATCACTGAGAATATGCTAAAGGCTTGACAGACCTTAGTAGATTTTTTTCTGAAGGAGACCTCATCAGTGCTAGAGTATATAAAATGCTTGCTGTGATCTGGTGTTCTTCCTTAGCAAAATGACTTAATGTTTAGAATTCCCAAAAAAAGAAAGATGCTCTTATCTCAAGTCTTTTTGTTAATATTTACCTGCATGTGTCTGTATGAGAGTGGAGTAAGTGCCTCTGAGTGCCTACAGAGATCATTTGGGGTATTGTGTCCCCTGAAGCTGGAGTCACAGGTGACTGTAAGCCACACTAATTCCAGTCCTCTAAAGATCAGGCAGTCTTCTTCACTGCTGAGCCGAATATTTATTTAACTTCACATTTCTTCAGTTGCTAGTTACAAAAATGTTTTGTATGTTTAAATTATTATTGGCGAGGGAGTGTAGAGAGATGACTTAAGGGTTCAGAACACTGGCTGCTTTTCCAAAAGGCCTCTGCTTTGATTCCCAGCACTCACATGGCTAGCAACCATCTGTGATTCTAGATCCCCAGGATTGTAGCATTCAGGAGGCAGAGGCAGGTGAATCTCTGAGTTTGAGCCTAGCCTGGTCTATAGAGTGTATTCCAGGATAGCCAGCGCTGCACAGAGAAACCTTTCTCAAAATTAGATAGATAGATAGATAGATAGACAGATGAATAGATAGATGCTAGACAGACAGACGAATAGATAGATAGATGACAGATAGATAGATGATAGATTGCTCCCTTTCAGAACATTTCCTGGCTGTGCCAGTTATTTGTAACAGTTGTTCATAGTATATTCTTCACAGTTCTGTGCATCAGTTAGTATCTCCTTTTATATTTTTGGTTTTACTAGTTTAGTTTTCCCTTTTTCTCTAACTAAACATTTGCCAATTTTGTTTATATTTTCAGAATATCAATGCATTTACTTGATCTATTTTGGTTTATGATTTCATTTATTTTTCTCTGAAGTTTATTTTCTATGAACTTTATCTTTATTTTGTAGTTTAGGATCTTTGAAGTGTACTGTTAGCATGTTTATTTGAAAATTTTCTATTTACTTTTGATGTATTCATTTATCATTATAAACAATAACTAATAAAGATGTGTCTTATAGATTGTGATATCTATTGGTCTTCTTTTAAACGATTTCTAGTTTTAATTCATTGTGCTCTGCAAAGACACATGATATGATTCCTTTTTTAAAAGTTTTATTGATATTTAATTTGTAACCTAACATATGATCTATGTTAGACCCAAGGGGGAAAAACATTTCCATGACTGCTTCATTAAGCAAACTTCATGTAGAGGTGCACAAGAGACTGGCCTGACAGCTGCTTCACCTTACACTGGGATCTCTGAGAGCAACCCTTCACTGGCTTTAGAGGTTCCTTTTATGAGGAAGGGCAAGGGTTGATAGGAAACAGCTGTGGAGTTAATTGACCGTTCGGAAAGAGGTAACAAAAATAAGTGCAAGAATGCATCCTGTGGAGGGAGGATCATCAAGGTGTCTGGGAAGACACGTTTTCACAAGGCAGAGGGCAGTCATCTATCACAGGTTTAGGAGTTTATCGGGCAAAGTGGTGGTTGGATTCATGGGGTCACAAGTTCAGCATAGAGTGAAAAGTGTGGTTTACAGGATACATCAGGTTCAGGAAACTGAAAGTCATTCTTGTAAGATATGGAGACTTAATAATGATCTAAGATAATATGGATCCTTAATAACAATGTGGCTCCTGCTGTGGTTTCTCGCTTTTCATTGATTTTACTGTGCCTGCAAAAACACATGATATGACGACTTTTTAAAAAACTATTGGTATTTATTTGTAACCTAATATATTATTTATTCTGGAGAATATTCTGTGTTTCAAGAAAGAAAATGTATATTCTAGTGTTGTTGGTTGAAATGTTTTCTAAATACCTATTAGGTCCTTTTATTCTATAGTATGCTTCAACCCTAATTTTTACTTGCTGATTTTCTGTTTCAACTATTTTCTTACTGTGAAAATCAGGTGCTAAAGTCTCCAACTAACTATCATTGCCGTGAATCTCTACTCTTGGGTCTATGAGTGTCTGCTTTATGTATTGGGTAGTCTAGTGTTAGGTGCTTAGGTATTTATAATTAATACATATTCTGCTCATTGATTGCTTTATTAGCATATTATAACTCATATCACTTTATTTTTCTTTGCATTGTCTACCCTCAACACTTTAAACTTGTGCTTGTCTTTGCCAGTGGGTTTCCAATATATAGCTGTATAATTAGGTCTCACTTATTTTGTTGTTATTCATTCATTGAATCTGTCTGTGTCTTTTAATTGATGACCTTCGTGCGTCTATATTCAAGGTTATTATCTATAAATTTAAGCTTTCTTTAGTCATTTTGCTGTTTTCTTTTTCTGTTTTATAAGATATATATCTATATATAGCCCAGGTTGGCAGTAAATGGATAATCCTCTAGATTCTGCTTTTCAAGGACTGAGATTATGATGTGAGCTATCATGCCAAACCAATTTATTGTTACATTATTGTCTTGTTTGTCCAATGTTTCTTTTTATTATTATTTATTTATTTATTAAAAATTTCCACCTCCTCCCCGTCTCCCTTTTTCCTTCCCCTCCCCACCTCCTCCTCCCTCTCTAGTCCTAAGAGCAGTCAGGGTTCCATGCCCAGTGGGAAGTCCAAGGTCCTCTCCCCTCCATCCAGGTCTATAAAGGTGAGCATCCAAACAAACCAGGCTCCCACAAAGTCAGTCCATGCGGTAGAATCAAAACCCAGTGCCATTGTCCTTGACTTCTTAATCAGTCCTCATTCACAGCCACATTCAGAGGGTCCAGTTTGATCACATGCTCCATCAGTCCCAGTCCAGCTGGCCTTGGTGAGTTCCCATTAGATCAGTCCCACCGTCTCAGTGGGTGGACACACCCCTCGTGGTCCTGACTTCCTTGCTCATTTTCTCCCTCCTTCTGCTCCTCATTTGTCCAATGTTTCTTTCCACTACAAATAATTATCTTGTACTTCAGTGCTTCTCCATTTCTTCAAGACTTAATTCTTTTTTCTTTTGTGACTTTTTTGTCTATGAATTTGTACAGTAGTATATTCAGAATAGTAGTTAGCATCCTTATTTCCAGTGAAGGACTCTGGTCTTGTGGTGGTGAATTCTGTCAGTTTTTACTTTTCTAGAAAAGACTTATTTCTTCTTCATTTATACTAGTCTTGATTGGAAGGCTTTTTTAAGTCAGAGTTTTAATGTATCATTCCATTCCTTTCTGGCACATATGAATTTTGTGGCTAAATCTGCTGTCATTCTAATGAAGTTTTATTTATATGTGACATTTTTCTTACACTGGTTTTAGAGTTCTATGTGTCTTGTACTTTCATATTTTGAATATGAAACTATTCTAGAGAAGGTCTTGTTTGAATGAGTGCAGTCAGAACCCTTGGAGCTCCTTGTATCTGGTTATCTGAGTCCAAATTTGAAGATGTAGGGACTCTTTAACTTTCATTCTGTTAAATGTGTCAGTGCTTTCTCTATGTGTGTTTTGTGTGTTTTTCTAGAATTTCTGTAGTACAAATAATTTTTCTCTTAATGGTATCTTAAATATTTCAATATTTCTATGTACTATTTTAACATTTCTATGTATTAATTGTTCTATCCCTTTATTTTTCTGTTGTTTTCTTTATTTATTCTATCTTTTAAGTTTAGAAATTTGTTTTTATGCTTCTTCTCTCTATTTCTTTAAAAAAAATTTTATTTTTTTTTTATTTTTTTTATTTCTTTAAATTTAAGACTGAAATATACACTTCCAAGATTCATGATGACTTGATAGAATTTCAGTGTTGACTCTCCTGATCATTATTATTTTTTTGCTTGTTTGCTTTGGTTTTGTTTTTCTCATTTCATTGTGTCACTTATCCACACCCTCTTGTGTTTCTTTAGCTTCCTTGTTTTGTTTCTTTTTTCATGCGTTTTATGGATTTCCTTCCATTTGTGATCTATTCCTGGAGAATCAATCTCTACCTCACTGGAGGTATCACAGTTCTTTGACTTTTCATGAATCTTAGTTTCCCTGAAATAATTTATGCACATATAATGAAACACTTCTCTTAATTTATTGAGTATCTTTTATATGAGGGCAATTTTTCATATAAATAAGATGTAAAGTTATCAGTCAATCCTTTGTCTGATTCCAGATAACTTAAAAAGTTTAATGTTCATGTGATTTCTTTAGGTGTAACCAATGACAAAGAGCCTATGAGTGCCTTGATGGTCTAGGTTGAAGTGACTCATAAATGGAGTAGTCCATTGTTTAAGATGAGGTGGACTTCTAAATGTGTATGCCCTCAGGCCCTATAGAAGCAAGCACTTGTGGCACTTCGATATGTGATGGCAGCAGTCATGGTTATGCTGATACACAATCTGTAGAACTCTTTCCAAGTACCACAAGACAGGAATGGGTGGTGACAGTTGCTAAATACCCATCATTCTGAAGCTATTATGAAGAAAATAGAGAATTATCTTCTCCAGTTCTTGTGATACAGAAAAATGCGCTCTCTGGGTTACAACCCAAGAAGGGATCCCGTAATAGGACATGT